GGGCAAGATTTTAGAGATTTTGGTTTAAAGGACTTTGCCACAATGTAGGCTGATTAGTTCAGTAGTTGTCTTCTTCACTGCCCATTTAATTAATTTTTTCTTTTGCATCACAAAACCGGGCCACGCCCTACCAGTTGTGAACCACTGATTTAAAGTATCCATTAGTGCATGAATGCACATTCTTAAAAGAAAAGATTGTCAAAAATGTATAAGAATCATCATCAACCCACACTGAGAAAAAAAACATCCAACAGCGTGTGAGTGTAAAGCATTAATTACCCGTCATTATTGATGTCAACAGCTGCTACAGAATGACCGAAGTAAGCCGCCATCTAAGGTGGACAGAGAAAAAAACAAAAAAGCCAATTTAGACTAGACTGGAGCTTTAGACTAAACACCGTTTTTAAGACAAACAAAAACAGTAAAAATGTCAAATACTGGTCTACATAAAAGTTATTGGCCATAACATTCAAATCAACCAACAATGTCAATGATACTACTACTACTAATATATCATTATCACTGGTATTGGTGGTGCACCCTACAGCATATCCACGTAGATTCAGTTCTTGATCTTATTGACATCTCTGTTAAGCTCATGTTGACTTAAGCTTGATTAACGGTTGATGACTCATCACTGAAGCAATCACAATCAGCCAAAAACACCTATTTTCCCTTCTTGCTCTCATGTGTTGACGACACTGCTGTCAATAGCTTCCAGATGTGGGAGTGGATTTAGGACATGAACTTGTTTCTCGTAAACAAATGTTGCCTGAAGGGCAGGCTGCTCACAGGCAAGACTGCTCATATATGCTCTTATCCTGTCATTTACCACACATCACAATGTCAAACAAACACTTTTGTAATGCTCACCTGAGTGCCTGTGAAATTATACATGGACTCCATGTTCTTCCCACTAAAAATGTTGACCTAACAAGACAAAACCAGACAGAGATTCATGCAAGCTGTTTCAAGCAGAGTTGCATCACTTTTATGGGTTCTCATCAGATTCCTGACCAAAAATAGTATAAAACTCACATAACCGAGAGCCTTCTCCCCTCTAGGAACTCCAGTGACATAATCTAGAGAGGCAGGAAGAATTAGAAATGAGTTGGACACAACAATGCTTTCATTCAGCAGAGAGGTTTCTTGATTTCAATGTAGAGAAAAATCTGATTTAAGCACTTCCCGTAATGCACTACTTTAGTTTGCAATACTATGGGGATGGAATTCAGAGCAGGCCAGTAAAGACCAGCTAAAACAAGCCCATGACAACTTGTGGTTGTGGGGTGCTTAATTACATTACTGTTCAAACATTTGAGGTCTATTAGATTTTTTATGTTTTTGAAAAAAAAACTGCATTTATTTGTTAAAAAATACAGTACTGTGAAATATTATTACCATTTAAAATTACGTTTTCTATTTGAATGTATTTTAAAATGCAATTTATTCCTGTAATGCAAAGCTGATTTTTCTTTTATCAGCAATTACTCCAGTTTTCAGTATCACATGATCCTTCAGCATTCATTCAAATATACTGATCTGGTGCTCAAGAAAAATCTATTATAATTATCAATGTTGAAAACAGTTGTGCTGCTTAATAATTTCTGAAAACTATATATTACACTTTTTTCAGGATTCTTTGCTGAACAGAAAGTTCAAAAGAACAGCATTTATTCACAATAGTGATTTTTTTGTAACATTATTAATGTCTTCCATCATCATTATTGACTTTGATTTAATGTGCCCTTACCAAATAAATGTATTCATTTAAAAAAAAAATAATAATAATAAAAATTATATATATATATATATATATATATAT